GCACAGACCTAAAGTAATTTAAATCTATAGAAAAGTGTTAGACTTATTAGATGTTACATCAAACTTTATTAATATTGTAAGAATTATGTGTTCACTTTTCTACATTTATTCTTTATAATGACATAACATACTTTGATTAAAAGTGTTCCTCTGCTGTTAACTGTGATAACCAATTTAATAATATTCTATCTGTAGTAAACACATTTAAACATATAATTTATACTGCAATATTTTAGTTGCACTTCTCTTATCAGTCAATTAATTATAATATTTTTCCTTTAAATAGAAACCTTGAATCATCTAACTACTTTAAGTAGAAACTTTATTGTAACAATTATAACAAACAAATGTACTTATATTTATTAATACATTCATCAACAAAATCATACAATCAAATTGACAATACATATTTCCTAACTTTATTATTTTCTTTCCGATTAGGCTAAAATATTTGAAAAGCATTACATTATGATAAAAATACAAAATTCCACTGAAAGGACAATTGTTATTAAAAAATTATCATAAAATAGAAAAAAATTAATTCATACATTAAAATAAAAATGTAAGTAATTAAAAACCATCGATTATTGACATTTCATCATGCTTAGAAATTGCGCGGGAAAGAAATTCGATCGTATCGTAAAAAGGGGCGTTCCTGATCCACAGTTCCTTGTAGTGGTGAATATACATATACTTACAAAATTTAAACGTCACACCAAGCACATACACTCACGCACACATATACCAACACATATATGCACACTCAGAAGTATATATCGATTTATATGGAGTGTGATACTCGGTTACATTTTCTAATATTTTCACAGAAATGGTACATTGTACGTATATGGAACCGAGTAAACACTGTGGAGTCAAGTAAAAGATATATTAAACGATAAACCGTACACGATGCTCATTTTGCTTGACGGTTCTGAATATTTGGTACAAATCGATCGAAAGTTTGAAAGTGCAATGTTGCGCCGCGGTAGCGGCGGCACCCAACAATTGTAACGCCTGAAAATTCCCGCGAAAACTATTCTACACGAATAAACAGATAACTCACGTTCTGACTTATGATACTGCTTACCATATCTCTCAATTAACAGGCACACTTATTAAATACAGAAATAAGTCGGTACGCTGTGAACACACGCGTTTCATTCAAATCCGTCGTTCGCGTTCACTTTTCATCCCCCCGAAACTAAACAATCATGGCTGCGGCGTCACTCGAAAATACACCACAAATCAAGTTCAACACTTTTTGGTTAAACATATGTTGGTTCATTCAAATGTAGATAAAATTTTCGAATTTATTTGTAAATCAGTCCAAAAATAGTATCATAAGAATGTATTTAATAACTCGTTTTTGTTGAAATTTGATTGATTCTAGAAGTTTTCCGGTTACAGATGCGACATCTACGTTTTAAAGATATTTCTTAACATTGACAATGGCGCTTGTTCATTCGAAGAAATCGAACCAAGTACTGTTTGTCAATATCAATTAATTTAATTTTATAAACATTTAATCCACAGATTTAAACTGTATAACTACACATATAAAATGCTAATATTTAATCAATTCAATATGTTGAAATATTACTATATAGAGATAATCATACCTTTTTTTTCAATTCATTCATTTTTTCATTCAATTTTAAATAGAATAAAATAACGTAAATAATGTGATGAACAATCACACAGAATAGAAATAATTTATGTACAATAATTAAATAATAAAGAATAAATATTCAGAAAGACAAGCTTTAGTATTTTCAATTATGATTGCAAATTTTTATCAAAAATTAAATAAAAAAAGTTTGTGCTGTATCAGAAAAACATTAAAAAGTACCACGTCTAAAAATCTATGAAGGCACGATTTCTATACAAAAATAGCAATAAATATTTTAGACTTTTATTGAATTTTTGTGTGGCTATTTACATCATTATATTATAGTTTTTCAATATTATATCATTGTAAGAATAGCGAATAATAATTTTATATTATTTATAAAATCGTACTGTATGTTCTAATCGCAATTAATTTAATATTTACAATATGTATTAGAAAAGCCAAGTTGTACATTAACTATGTACAGCAGCCAGCATGACATATATATAATTTGTAGTTATTAATCAATTTGCGCTTACCAAATACATATTAACACAACTCTGTATACTTGCTTCGACTTCCTAAGACTACATTTTTATGTTATTTTATTCCAACATGAGAGACCATATTATATCTTTTTTGTTTTTGCTCATTATAGATGGTAATGATAATTGAATCCAAAATTATACGCAGCTTTTATTATTTATAAATATCGTGCTATATATAGCAGTTTTTCGTTATTTTACAACGTTGATAAACTACAGAAAGTAAAAAGAATTTCGTGGTTACTTTTGTAGAAGCAAAAATATTTGAAAGAATGGAAGTTATTAAAATATCAAATAAACAGCGAAAGTGATGCATTCATTACATAATCGTTAACCTACTAATCAAAAATATCACTCTATAAAAATCTATTGCAATTTACAGAATTAAAACGTTTCTATTATACAAATAAAAGTGATAAATGTTTTTACCTTTGTTACTTGTAATGAAGAATTTATAAATCTGAGTGATACATTTTTCGGCACATATGAAAATTAAGTATTTTCAACGATACTTCACCTTAAATTCTTTACCTTATACGTGTACATGGAAGTAAAAATTTTATGACAAAATTTATTGTACACGTAGCTGTAGTTACAAAAAGTTCACTATTCGGTGGTGTAGCAAACGGTATTTCGTGTTAGAAGCAAAGAATGCAATGGTCAAACACCATTTGATGTTGTGGAACTATGAAGCGGTGGTCTCAATAAATCATGGTATTGTAGTAAAGCTTCCCGCAAAGATCTTGATACTTGGCCTGATGCCGTAGCAATCGTGCATTCTACTAAACAGGGATATAGTCCAATCAGTTGCTCCCATACTGATCTTTCAACTAAAAAGTAAAATTAAAATTCTGTTGCTTTTGTTTTATATAAGTATAATATTATGTAAATATAAAATTGTGTTATTATAAAGATTAAGTAAAAGTATCCTTTTTTACATAGAAATATAAGTACCTTTATTAGGAGGTGCTTTCTTTAGGGAGACCACAAGTGTTGCAACAGCTTTCAAAACAAATGAAATTTCAGATAATCTGTACCTAGAAAAGGTTTCTATAATAAGTACTTAAAAATGAATGTGCATATTTTATTTTATCTTCAATGAAATTATACAACATTACCAGTTCTGTCATTTAAAATAATTCATTTAAATGCTTTTAAATAGAAGAATTAATAAAAGAGTTAAAGGATTTAGTTTAAACAAAACTATTACCTAGGTAGTGGACATTTTCCACTTCGCCTCTCATTTTCGATATATCGTCGTAAAACTTCTTGAAACCTATGAAGAAGTGCAGTGACGGCCAACCGTCCAGCAACACCTCCTTCATCATTTTCAGGATTTTTATTTGTATCATGTTCTGATTCGTTATTTAATCCATCCAACAGAGAAAATTGGAGTAATGTTTCAAAACAAGTTTTTGCAAATTCTTCTCTTAACTTAGTTTCACCGTTATTTTCTACAACAGCAATATTATAAAGTAAAATAGTATATTTAAACTTTTTCCTACAATGAATACTAAAAAGAAATTTACCAATATTTGTTGTAGTTGCTGAATGAATAGAACCTTTATTTAAAAGCACAACTACTCGTAAAATAAACTGATGAGGTATATGTTGGGAATGTGGTAAAACTTCATCTCGTAAAAGCTCCATCACTTGACAATCTACAGCTTCATCCGCTTGAATTTCTTCGACACCTCGTTCCACATTCAATACACTGTAATAATTAGACCATTAAAAACCATCAAGACGATAATTTACTTGTGATTTTTAATTATTAGATATAAAATCAAAAGAAGCAATTTTCTAATTTCTAATTACCTTTTTGGAAACAGAAAGTCATCTAACGTACTCGCAAGTTCTGGCCACATACTTTGAAATTGTTCTGCATACTTTCTGGCTAAGGGTAAACCGGTATGTAAAACGGCAAGCAGACTAGTTACAGCTAATTTCCAAGTTGTTGGCGATGGGCAAGCGTACTTCATTGATAAAGGCACGTGCAACGCTTCTATAATATGCTTTAAAACTTGTCCATCTATGACTGCCATTTCATGCGCCGTCTTTTGGTATAGTGTTACAACCATTGATAGAGCTTTCTCTCCAAAAGGAACGTAATTCATAGTTACCCAATCAGCCTAAATATATAAAAAAAAACACTAAATAATATTAGTTTAAGAATAAAATGACAATTATTCGTGTATTAAAAGTAAATAAGTACGCACGGATACACCTCTAATTTGGGAGATGTGTTTTGTTGGTATTTTACCATAAGTGGGAGCTTCGCAAGCCAATTTTGAAAAACTCAAAAGCTGAAGGAATATTAAAACGATCATTGTTCTTAGGTTATCCGGCCCATTTAGTGCTTCCTGCCAAAGAGGAATAAAATTAACTTTGAATACACAAAATATGATTTCCATAATAAAATACATACTTTTTGCAAAAGCTCCATGGAATGAAGTACACCGTCCTGTAAATGAGTAAGAACCACATCCGGTATCGTCGGTAAAATGTATGGTGTTGATTCACCATGTACCGGAACTGCGACTGCATTTTTCAGCACGATACAGAGCTTTTGTAAATCTGGACCAGTGAATCTGAAAAACAAAAATACAAAAAAGAAGATATATAAATTTTGTCTTAAAATTAAATCTTAATTATATAAAAAAGGTATACTTGTTTCTGATGTGTTGAAAAACAGCTGGAAATATATGAACCAAGGCTGTTAAAAATGCTTGTGATGGTACATAAGGTTCCGTTTCCCCTTCTTGCGGTGGCGTTGTACTTTCCATTCCGATATTAAGCCACACACGCCATGCAACGATCCATAATGCTTCTGAATCGTTTGATTGAATAACTTCATTATTGTCACTCCCTTTTTGAAGGTACAAAATTTCTTGAAATGATTTTAAAGCTGCTAGCGATACCTAATAATTTGAAATATAAGTTAAAACACTTGTTTATATATATGAAATAATATATTATACACAAATATTAGATATATACACACCTCGTTATTTTTACTAAGCGCAGAATTTTCTATAAATTCTAACAAAAGAGACCAAGCTCTAGGGAAATCGCCTAACATTTGTAACAGTTGACGTTTTGTATTAAACACTCTTCCAACACCACTCAATGTCAATACCTGCAAAATGATAATTTAAGAAACTTGTACGTATATTAACAAAAATATTAAATGCAGACATATTTTTACTTGTGTTTCTGCCCATTGCTTTTGCGCTGTATTTCTGCTGTGATGAATAAGTATGTTTCCACTAGTATCAACTTTTTCACTACTAGCAGAATTAGATAAACTTCTTACTTTATCCAATAATGGAAAAAGAACTTGCCAAAGTACAGCTTGCCATGTTGGCTGATGCAATAAACTACCATGTGCAGATATTGTAGAAAACAGAGTTTGGCTGGCTGATTTGCGCACTGCGGGTCGAGGGTCTACGCATAAGTCACCTTAAAAATATAAATGAAACAATAAATTTTCAATAAAATCTATTAAAAAAGCATTCACATTTTAAACGTAATATTTAAGAGCAAAGCAATACCTAATCTTGCATATAGACACATCCAAAGTTTGTCAAAAGGTGGCATGTTTGTTGTACCAGGAAAATCCGGAAATACAGAAGATGAATCTCCTTTCAAAGATACACAGAGTTTCTCTTGATTTTGATAAAAATAATCACTTATATTCCACTGGAAAAATAATATGTAAATATAAACATATTAAGCTTACTATTCACTCAGAAGACCCATAAACTGTACTTTAATAATTTGTTAATTAATTTTAATTGATTATACTTTGTATATGATAAAAAAAATTTATTATAATAACACGTTCATAGTAAACTGTATTTGCCTGATTATCTTGATTTTAATTTTGTTCATTTAAGATACTTTGGCTTCTATTTTAAAAATTTTAGGTGCTACTAAGTTCTTCTATCTCTGAACATATGCACGTCTTTTAGTCATGACTCAGCTCTGATGTATTTTAAAAGTCACCAAATTCGCGTATCATGTAAAGTTCTGGATTCTTCTCAAATTGTTTTAGAAAAAACATATAACAATATCAAGATTAACAAACGAAAATGAATTTAAAGCAAGTTATTTATATGTAATTCATTATTACCATTAATCCAACAGCGGTTAACGAAATATTTAATTCCTGTGTTTGGGAACCAAATTTGGCAGCTGTGTCGACACAAAGTGGAAGACACCGCCAAGGCATCACTGGTAGAAAGTCGGTTACTACCAATTGTAAACACTGAAATGCTATGCGAACTAAAGCTTCCCTGTAAAGTGTATTAGTATGAAAATAATATAAATCATATTTTATCAGATATCAATTATATTATTAATAATGATATTTACCCATGGTGATCAGATACTGCTCCAATAATACCAAGTACTAAAGGCCAACCATGATACAATGTTTCTCCAGCTCCGTGCAAAACTTGTAAAACACACTCCAACTGCCGCTGCCTTACATCCCCATGACGTACCGATGATAATTCTGATAATGGTCCTAGAAGTAAAGTCTGCAACTTCTGTAGTGGAAAAATTAATTATATTTTTAATATTTAATATTTTTAATTGAAAAATAAGGTTCGTTAAACGAACATACTTGATTATCGCGCAAAGGTTGTGGATATTTGTGCTGAAGTGCCATTTTTACAAGATACGTAATAGCTTCGACTCCCCATTCTCTCATACGAATGTGTGGATGTTGACAAACTTCCAGCAAGTGATTTGTTAATGGTCTCCATAAAACTTCTACCCGAGGTAAGTTTACCAAACCAGTTTCTAGAAGTTTAGCCACAGCAAACAGAGAGGGTTCCTAGTAGAAATTTATAAAAAAAATTGTTACTTTGAATAAATAAAGTACAATGTGAGTTTTAACTTTATTACTACGAAACATGAAACTTGTCGGCACTTACTCTATTAGAGTAAGCTAATTCCATAGCTTCATGGCTTAATTTACAAAGTGCATCTATCAGATGATGTAAAGCTACATCATCAAGATGTTGACTACTTTCAAATAGCCTGCTAAGCATGGCGCTAAGTACAGGCAAATCTGCCATAACTGCATTTGTAAGTACTGCATTTGGATCAGCAGCAGTTCTTCCAGCTTTCAAGGATCCCCCTGTAGAAGGTTTCAAACCAAGTATCCAGACAAGATGCTGTAAGGTTGTAAGTACCAAGTGCCATGCACCACCCAGTATGCTTCCATGGCAATGTGCAAGTGATAGTAATGCACGCATGCATTGTAAATTCTTTGCTGTTAACATAACTGGACCTTGGTGTGCACCTATATCAACAAGCAATTTAATACAATGTAAATATCTTATTAATAATTTATAAATAACTATATTAAGAATTCTTACATACCAACTGGCAGAGATGCAGTAGGTAGTGGAGTACCAACAGCTACTACTTGTTGCCTATAATCAGGTTCACCAATAGTTACATTGTACTGAGTTGATTCTTGTTGCCTTGCAGTCGGTATACCCTGAGGAGCATTGTACAACACAGTCAAGGCATAATGAGGGGGTAATGATGCCTTACATATCGCAGTAATAAACGCGTCGCGTGGCGTTTGCAACTCCAATTGTCCACACAGTGAAGCAAAAGTTTGAATTGCTTTTAATACATTTTCCGTTGCAGATTCATCGGTGCTAATAATTATAACAAAAAGAAGTTAATTATATATACTGTGGATAAATTTTAAACAGCATAAATGTTAAATAATAGATGTAAATATTTAATTTTGCTTACCTTGCATCTATAAGGGGACTTAATGCTGCTAGTAAACCGCACCAACTAGAATTAATGAGTTGGGTGTGAAGTTTTCGTTCAAATTCACTTGGTTTGTAAGATTGATTTCCAGTTACAACTTCACTGGATCCATTAATGGCGAGAGCTATGGAACGTATAATGTCTAATAAACATGCATAAGCTATACTTATTCCATAGCCAATAGGAATCTGTGGTGGGTCAACCTTATCAAGCATATCCAAACTATAAGATAATCAAAACAATTTTTGTAATTTTCATAAAAAAAATTATATTGTAAACAATAAAAAAGTATTTACTACGTGGATTTAGCTTGGCCACTTGTGAATGTCGCAACTACTGGCAACCAAATACCACGCGAATAAAAACCAGGTTGTGGTGAAACACCAGGTCCTATAGGCATTCCCGTGAATAACGGAGAAGTTGTATTTTGTGGTATCGTTGTACCTGTTGCTAATATTATAAACATATTAACTTAATTTTAGATAATGTTATATTATTGTAATAGTTGATTAAAATTTACCCATATTGGTTTGATTTATCATTTGAGGATTAACAAAAAGGCTATGTACATAAGCACCTAAACTATTGACAATGTCTTGAAAAATATTGGTTGCATGAGGTTTCAAGTCATAACATTCACAGAAGTTTGTAAGGAGATCAGATTGTACTGTCATCTTATGTAAAACCTCCAAAGCTAAAGCTCTTTGCCATGTTGGTTTATCAGGATCCAAAAATTTAACAATTAAAGATAAAAATATTTCACATTCTGTTACCTGTGAAATATGTAATGAAATACACAAGAATGTTAAATTAATGGTGTTCTTTTAACTTTAATTAAATCTAAGATATTTACCAAAAGTGAATGATACTTCTGTATCAAGATAGAAACAACTCGAAGGAGTCTCATGCTAATAGGAAAATAAGGTTTATCTAAAGGGGTAGCTTGTTGCAGCGATGCTGGAACCGAATTACGATATTTAATATTAGAAAGAAACGTAAAATTGAAACTTCATGGTTTATTTAAATATTAAGTATTATTGTGATTATATACCTTAAAAAATACTGATGAAAAATTTGTTAAAACAGATTCTAACAATTCCAATCCAAACGTACGTGTCATTTCTGTAATTCCAATTAACCAGTAAGGTTGATCTGCATTTACTAACTGTACTAAGTCCTAAAACAAATTCTCCTTAGTAATTAAATTCTATTAAGAAACGTAGTAGATGATTTAAATAAATTTATTACTTGGAACATTAAGTATGCATCAGCAGCACATGGTCCTAAACCTTTTGGTGCCTGATTAGTAGCAATTTTTAATTCCTCCAAATTTATTTCATCTGAATCCTCATTATCAGGGCTTTGTTCATTCTCTGCAACAACACGCTCAAAAACTAATGACACTAATTGTCTTACTGTGGCTCCTGCTGTATTAATTGTTGTAGAATCTTTTGTAAAATGTAGACGAAAACAAAGAACCAGATTCTAAAAATGATGTATCATTTCATGAAAATTATAATCAGATTATTAATAAAATTAGTGCTATCAATTTTTTACTTTCTAGCATAAATTATTACCCTTGCAAGTGTTTCACCATGAACAATAGTGTTACTAGTGAGTAAGAGAGTTACAGTCTGCAAAACTTTAACTTCTTCTGTTCCTGATTCCATCAGCATCCATAATGTATCCGTAATATAACGAGCTCCTTTTTGATCAACAGCTTGTTGAGTAATTAACCTTTGCATCATACTTAAACAAAACTAAAATGAATAGTAAAAATATAAAATATCATCATAAAAAAGGTAAAAGGATAAGAAATACATTGGTTTATACATACCTTAATAATTTTTACATCTTTACTTTCACAACCTTGAACCAAAGGATACAAGATTTGATTAACAATGTAATAAATAGGAGCACATGATGTATTTGAAGCTGTCCTTATTTTTGCAATTCCTTCTTCACATGACTGTAATAAAATATAATGTTAATAAATTTAAACTTATTTGGTATTTTAATTATTTTGTCTACATTTCTATGAAAGAAAGGGAACATTTAAACTTGGTAAACTAACCTAACTTTTTTCATTTAACATTATATAATAATAAGTAATTAGTCATTAAGATCAATAATAATAACGTACTTCTTTAATTTGTGGATATTTCTTCTTCGACTCAGAAGCAAGGACTTTTAAGTCAGCTTGCAGCGATTCCAAAAATTTGGAAGTATTTTCCGGATTAGTTCCGACAGCTGCACTTGCCATCGTATCAAAATCCTTTTTCTACAGTGTTACCATAAAAATCTATTTCATCATAAATTATAAACAGTTTCTCAAAGAATACATATTGTCGTACCAAAATTTGTATCTATCTGATAGCAGGTGAGTTGGCACATCCCATGCCGATTATCAGAAATGACAACGAACAGGTGACAATCTAGTGGGTTTGACCTTACACATTTTTAAACTTATGTCATTTTCACGACACTCAATGCAATAATCACTTAAAAATACTGTTAGTGTTTGGATTCAACTTTACCAAAAATCGTGTTCTTCCACGATTATCAGTTATTCGCATCTTAATTGTAACACATTCATGTAAATAATAAATCGTAGTATGCAATGGCGCTGATAACTCATATATTGAAATCATATTTTAGCATTAGCCTCGAATCAATTTATAAACTAGTATGGAAGCTCGTGTGACAATTCAACAATATGCCATTTGAAATTGCCCTTATAAATCTATACAAATTTTAAATATTACTACTTCTTTAAATTAGCTATATTATTGGAACATGAAGCAATACAAATTAATATAAAATAATATTATCTATACCAGTATGCCCAGTGTTGTAAATCCGCATAATATGAATACGTAAAACTTCTTTCCAAAAGCCGCTACGTGGTGCTAAATAACGTACCTCCAATATTTTTTACCGACATTGCTTCCAATCTACTTTGTAATCTCAGGTTTCCAGTCGTTTCTCGAGCGCATGTGAAGCGTGTTTTTTTCTCGAGCAGAATTAAACTGTTTCTAAATTGTTTAACAAATTATAAGAAAGAGTGACGCGAGAAACTGTTTGCAATTTACAGAGGAACGAAGTTCCTTACAAACTTGCGTATAAACTTCGCAATCAACCCCATTTGAGAAACGTGACCAACTTACCGAAAATGACGACAATTACGGCAAGCGGTGATGGACGAGGTGCTCACGGAAAAGCCTATAAAGATAAAAGTAAACCAACCGATATTCGAACCAGTAACATTAATGCTGCAAAAGGTGAAAAAACAATGTTATTAAAATATATGTATTTTTAATATTCTAATCTTTGCTAGCTGATTGATGCCGGTGACAAAAGCCTTACCATATATAGTCATGTTCAACACACCATAACTGAGTTATTTTGTTACCATGAATTTGAAAAATCGTTAAAATTTATTATTAACTTTATTATTTTTAAAACAAATTTTTTTCTTTTAATTTTAAATTACTTAAATTTTTTTATATATTTAGATCCAAGCTGCCAATGGTGAAGTTACTATTACAAATGATGGTGCTACAATTCTAAAAGAAATGAGTGTTGTACATCCTGCAGCAAAAATGGTGATTATTTTTATTAATATATGAAACATTAAATCTGTGAAATTTAGGTATATATTTTCCAAGTTTTATGTTATAATATGAAATTTTTTTTGTTTTTAGTTAGTTGAATTGTCAAAAGCACAAGACATTGAAGCTGGAGATGGTACCACTAGTGTTGTTGTTATAGCTGGTTCTCTTTTGGAAGCTGCAGAACGTTTGTTACAAAAGGGCATACATCCTACATTGATCAGTGATGCATTTCAGAAAGCTGCAACTAAGGCTGTAAAGATACTGACAAATATGTCTATTTCTGTTGATTTAAGAGACAAAGAATCATTGATTAGAGCTGCAGCAACCTCTCTTAATTCAAAAGTAATGATACATATATTCATCAATATATTAATATCTTAATTTTTATATAAATAACATTTAAAAAAGAAAGTCTTCCATAAGATAGTAATATGCAATTTTTTTTCTTTTAGGTTGTTTTTCAACAATCAAGTCTTCTAGCACCATTGGCTGTAGATGCAGTATTAAAAGTTACTGATGAAGGGAAAGACACTGCTGTTGATCTTAATGTAAGAAAATTACTATGTAAACTAAATTGTAACAATAGATATGTTACGTTTATGTTATAATGATCTGCTTATATTTACAGAACATAAAAGTAATAAAGAAGTTAGGTGGAACTGTTGAAGACACTGAACTTGTAGAAGGATTGATATTTACACAAAAATCTTGTAATGTTAATGGACCAAGGCGTATTGAAAAAGCAAAAATAGGTTTAATTCAATTCTGCATTTCTCCACCTAAAACGGATGTAAGTAATTACGAGAAAGAAAATCATAAATTTATAAAGCTTTATTCTTACTTGTTAATTGAATATTTTTATTGTTTTAGATGGATCATAATGTAATTGTATCCGACTATGCTGCAATGGATCGCGTTCTGAAAGAAGAAAGGGCTTATATATTAAATATTGTGAAACAAATTAAAAAAGCTGGTTGCAATGTACTTCTAGTACAAAAATCCATTCTCCGTGATGCTGTCAGCGACCTAGCCATACACTTTTTGGATAAAATTAAAGTTATGGTGATTAAAGATATTGAACGCGAGGATATTCCGTTTGTGTGCAAAACCTTGGGCTGTAGACCAATTGCATCTCTGGATCATTTCGTCGCTGAAAATCTCGTTAACGCAGAATTGTGCGAAGAAGTACAGACTGGAAATTCTAAATTTGTTAAGGTTAGTTTATTAACTATATATTTATATTCTTAATGCGAATATTATAATTCAAAATTATTTTTATGTTACAGATTACTAAAATACAAAATCCTGGACCGACAGTGACAGTCCTTGTACGAGGCAGTAACAAATTGGTCTTGGAAGAAGCGGATCGTTCGTTGCATGACGCTTTATGCGTAGTTCGTTGTTTAGTTAAACAGAAAGCTCTAATTGCTGGAGGTGGAGCACCTGAAATAGAACTGGCGTTAAAATTGGCAGCGTATGCTCAGAAATTAACCGGTGTTGATGCTTATTGTATTAAAGCTTTTGCAAACGCATTCGAGGTTAGTTATACAATTTTTATGAATCATATAATACTACAGATATATGCAGATTTTTAATGTTTTCGAATGTTATAGATAATCCCATCGACATTAGCAGAGAATGCAGGATTGAATCCTATTGTAACTGTAACAGAACTTCGAAATCGGCATGCTAACGGTGAAAATACTACTGGAATTAATGTACGAAAGGGGGCAATTACTAACATTTTAGAAGAAAACGTGATTCAACCACTTTTAGTTTCTACAAGTGCTATCACACTTGCCTCGGAAACTGTTCGCAGTATATTAAAGATTGATGATATCGTGAACACAAACCAGTAATTTGTAATGAATGTGAATTTTATATTTAAATCGCACTGCAAACTTCTTGACAATTACGAAATGTCACAATTTTGAGTTCATATCTAGCTTTTAATATTTTTACAATTTGCTAAACTAATAAAATCAAATTGTTTAACATTCTTGAAATTTCTTGTCTTATGTTTAAAATAAAATTGATCTGCTTCCATAAAAAAAATCTGCTTTGTTTATTTTATATAAAATACGTTTTCAATTTTTCAGATTAAAAGATTTTTAGAGATTGTTTTTATCCTT